GCTCGCTCTGTATCAAGGAAATAAAAACTAATGGCAAGCATCGGAGGCCCTTCCTTCTGGTGGGAGAGGAAGGGACACGAGCCAAGGCGGCGGGTTGGGATCTCTGTACATGACACTTCCCCTGTAGTTTGGTCTTTGTTTCTTTCTCCAGCTCCCGTTTCTGCTCCATGTATATCATACTCTGTAAAATACTCTCTCCTCCCTCGGATTTGCCCTTTGTGCGGATTATTGCAAGCATTGTATCTTGTTTCCGTGTTTTTTCTTACCTTGTAGTCTGGTTCGAAAAGTTACCCAGAGGGGGAAAAACAATGAGAAAAAAAAAAACCAAGTAATAATTATTCTACATTGTAGTTTGTGTACGATATTTGTTGATAATGTTTTATTAAAGGGATGTCTTTTTTCCGCACCCCTCCATTGCCATGTTTTTGGGGACATTTGGCTTGTTTTGATTATTCTGACTGCAAGACATGAGATGACAAAACCTTTTTTATTATTATTATTAGTGTGTAATATGAATTTTGGGGGGTGTTTTTTTCAATGTTTTGCCTTCTTTTTCCTGGGCATTTTCATTGTGCTTTACTTGTAGAAAGTCGCTGGGGAGGGAGGGATGGGTGGGATGGGGGGGTTCTGAGGGCGTCAGTCTCATAGTTACAGTCAGGTTAATACCTCCCATAGAAATAACACAGATTTGTTGCAAATACACCTGGGGGCTCCCCAAGGGGTCACCTCATTTTCCTTTCCCGCTTGTTCACGGTTTGGTTTTTTTTATATATATATTATTTTTTTTTTCCTTTTATTTTTCTCTTTTTCTCTTCTGTTCTGACGTGAGGAAACGAAAGGAGCGGGTTTAATGTATTTTAAAATGAATAGCTAAATTATTGTCTTCATTGGTATGGGATGGTTCTTCGAATGGTTACGGTTCTCCCCCCTCCCCATGCTGTAATAAATATCAACATAAACATTTGATTCCGGTGCTCTGCAGTTTGTTCTGCTCCTCGCTGCCAGACCCAGGGGGTAACGGGGAGTTGGTTTTCAGCCTTTATTTATCATGGACCAAGCCGAGGTTTGGGATGCGGGAGCGGAGGTGATGCTGAGCTGGGGGTGCTGGCTGAGGCTGGGGAGGCGGATGGGATTCGGCTGCAGTACAGGACCCAGAACAGGTTTGGTTGAATGATGCTCACTTGGTTAAAGGTTTTGGGGGTTTTAAGCAGCTTGAAGCTTTAGCTTTTAGCCCAGGAAAACGATCATTCCTGCCTGTACCAGGTTGAGGATGTGCTTGCTGGGCCCTTGTCTGCCTGGCAGCAGGCAGAGCTTTCAGGGGCTAAAAAGAGAGATCATTTTTGCATCCTGTTCCCCAGGATTTCCCCATTAGAGGCTGGAGGAATTGCGATGCCCTCATCCATCACCATGCTGGCATCCCATGCAGCAGGCTGCACATCAGGGATGCCTGCGAGAGGAGCTGGCTTCTGCTACCTCCCGTTGCTGGCATCCTGCACTGCTGGGAGGTGAGCAAGGGAAGGGAAGGGGAGACAGGTGTCCCCTCCAAAATAGATAAATACATCTATAGGCTTGCAATGGGGTCTGCTGACCCCCTTGGGCAAGGCAGGCTGCGGTGTAGGGGGTGTGTGTGCACCTTTGCATGATCAAACTTGGCTCCAGGAGCTGAGATGGGGAAGCCAAGGCGAGGTTGACCTGGCATCCCAACAGGCAGCATCAGCAGTGTTTGGGGAGATACTGGGGCTTTTTAGGTCTTTGGGTGGTTACAAGTGCCGAGGGCCTGAAACACTCCCCAGAGCTGCCATCTGAGGCTTGTTCTCTGCTCCAACCAGTCCAGGCAGGATAGGGCTGGCTGCGATCTCCTCCTTGCGGGAATGTTGTTCAAGTGTGGGCTGCAGGCCTGGGGGGGGGCTTTGAGCTATCCTGGAGCTCTGCCTGTGCTGGGGGATGCTCCCAGGACTCCACAGCCACATCACCGCTGCCATTCCAGGAGCACTCCATCATGGAGCCGAAGAGTGAGGGAGGGGCAGTGTGTGGGCTGGGAACCACCCAGAAACACCATGGTGCCTGTAGAACCCATTAGCATGTAATTAGGAGCTCGGTGTGTCTGCACCCTTTGCTGCCTGCGCAGGTTTAGCACCACAGACACCCTGGTGCGGGGTCGGCAGCCGTGCCCCAGTGTGGGTTTTGGTCCAGGCAATCCCACCCCTCAGGGCTTCGCAGAAGGTAAAGTGTGAGCATTCGCTGTCATTTGGAAACATGACCCCCAAGTGTAATTAGTGATGCTGATGAGGCCCCTCATGCCCTCCGGGCTTTCTGAAGCCGTTCCTGCCCATCCAGGAGCAACAGGCAGCATCACTGCCTGTGGTGGGTTCATTGCAGGCCATAGGAAAGCCCTTCCCGGCGGTTCTGACTGGGTTACAGGCTAATCTGATTAAACACCACCATGAGAAACTGCCAAGTTCCCTCCTCTAAATGTCTCCCGAGCCCAGCCTTAGGGATAATTGTCTCCCCCATTAGTTTTCATTAAATTAAATGCAGGAGGAGGATCTGAAAAACCAGGGGCTCCGGTCTGAGCACAGCACGTACTTGCTGGCACGATGAGGGCAAGCCCATGGAGTCAGGTTTTGCACCGGTGGTGTGGAGTGATGGAGCACGGTGCATCATCCCCAGGGCAGGCTGGGGACCAGGTCCTGCACTTGGGGCTGCAGAGCTCTCCTCTGGCCAGGCAGGTAGCACCGGTCTTCATCTCTGACTCCTGCTGCCCTGTTCTTGCATGCTCTGCTTCCCTGGCTGCAGCTCATTAAAAGTTAATGCCTGGCTCTTGGTCCGTGATGAGGTAATGCCATTCATCTGCTGAGGAGCCTTTATAAGTTATTGATGCCAGCCCAGATGTGCCTCCATGACCTGTTGCTCTGCTCCTAGCTCTATCTTTCTCAGCTGGGCCAATTCCAGCAGGTCACACTGGAGGAATGAACCACGGGCAGCATGCTTGGGAAAGCTAGAGGCACACCATGCATGTGTGCATGGCTGGCTGTGGTAGGGCTGCTGCCTGCTTCACACACCTTGTAGCTCCACCACAATGGATCAACCTGAGCATCCTTCTCATGTGCCAAGCTGGGAGGCCCACTCTGCCCTACTTCAGTTCTCCTCCTGGACCTTGGAATAGCTTACCAAGCACAAGGACCTGCTGCTCCTTCCAGCAACATGTGAGTAACTGCTTCTTCCCTTGGTACAGGTTTGATCAACTGTGCCCTGTGCAAACCAGGGTTGGGGGCTCATGTCCTTGTGTATGGTCCCCTCATCTCAAGTGGCTTCTTGATGCCTCTTGTAACTCATTCCCTGATGACTATCCCATGTCCTATTGCTTCTGCCACTTCTCAACACTGCCTTTGTTCTGCCTCCATCCATCTCTCCCTGTGCTCGTGCTTTGCCTCTGCTCAGTCCTGGAAACACCAGGACCCCAGCTTCACCTAGTTTCTCCTCTTCTACAGCCTGTCCTAATAGAGACCTCTTTGTCAACAGGTAAAAGCATCTAAAGGGATTTTGGCTCTTCCCCATGCAGACCATCTTCAGCTGGTCTTCAGCTTCCCACATCCCTAGAAGCATGGGACGTGTTTCATCTCCCTACACCCCCTCTTCACTACAGCCACTCTTCCATGAGGCTTCCTCAGTGAAGCCACCCTACTCAGGAATGCTAATGCTGTGGCTGGCTGCCCTACAGGGCTTCTCCCTCAAGAACCAGTAATGACCCAAAGCTGGAAGGGTGAGGGGATGTGAACAGCTCTAGAGCTGTTCCGCAAGGTGTGTGTGGCACAGCAGAGACAACAGCCTGAGAAACAAACACTGATGGGTCTCCACAGAGCACAAGTGTAATACAATATCTACCTAAATAACTGGGTGCAAATTAGAGATTGGAGCAGATTTAAAGCGATGAGCTGAATTAGGGATCCCTTGAGCAGGCAGAATTAACGTGACTTAGATCAATGCATTATTACACCTCTTTCAAGCCTTTTCCCCTAACTGCTGAGGATGCTCTTAATTTAACTTGCAGCCAATGCATCCCAAATGACTGAGTCCAAGTGTTGATCTTAGATGCGAGTAGTAAAACCCCTTGTTTTCTGAACCCTGCCGGCGTAGAGCAGTCTGATGGATTGAGCCTGGAACACACAACTGGGGTGTTCATCCAGATGGTCAGAGAAGATCACAAAGCACAGACCAGCCTCTGACACAAGATGCTGCGAAGTGAGATGAATTTCTTGGAAATATGCTCTTTCCACGCCTTAAAATAGCACAGGCTGTCCTATTCCTTCCCATGTGCTGGAGGGTAGCGGTGCAGAACTGCAAAACATTCTACATTTGGCTGGAGCTAATTTAGCTTTCATTTTACAGCAAACCACACTAATCCCCACATCTTAAAAAGAATACGCTTCCTGCTCAGTTAACTCTGTGTGGCAGGAAGAAATTCTTCCCTTTGTACTTTTAGCAGCAAATACCAGCTACCAGGCACCAAAGTTTCACGCTATGTTCTACACCCCTTTCCCAAAATGGATAGATAGGTCTCTTCATCCAGGATTGGGGGATAAAAGAACCGTGGTTCTATAGATCCAACAAAGCCATCTCACCGATTAAGTGCTTTGGGAACTAAGCGCAGGGCAGCACGACGCATCCCAAAGCAGCCAGGAGTAAAACAAAGTAAAAAGCCAGGCAGAACGACAAAGGCTTGTGTCTCAGGCTCCCCCCTTGAAGCTTTGGAAGTCTCTTCCCCACACACTGCATTCAGAGGTACTCAAAGCAACCTCAAAAATAGGTTTGAGTCTGGCTCTGTGCAGCAGCACACTGAGAGCAGACCCTGTGCAGAGGAATAATGACTGGCTTATGTTCTCCCTAGGCAACGGTGGAAGAGTGCAGGAGGAGGCGTTTGATGACTCTAACCCGAACCCAGAGGTGAGCCCCTAAAATGAAACGTTTTTCATGCACAATTTGGTGTAAAAAAAAAAAAAAAAAAAGGAAAGATTTACTTTCAGTAATGATATAATTTATTTTAGAAAGCAAAATTAAGCCACGGTTCTTTAATTATGTGATGGCTCTGGCAAAGGGAAGCAGCAGGTACAGTTGGTGAAGTATTTTCATTGGAGCTGAATTTCACACAGTTCCATGCAGATACAGTGCCAGAAACTTCTTGAATGTGTCTGGCTGAAAGCCATATATTCCAGCGGGCCTCTGCAGGGAGAAAGGCATGGATGCTCAGTTTGCAGTGAAGTGATTAATGTAGACAAACAATGGCTTTAAACACGCTTGAGTAAGACTTCAGATGTGGTAGCTTCCAAACGGGTGCTCTCCCTCCCCAGATGGGTTTGCGTGTGGGGACTTCCACTGATACAAGCCTCAGATGGCAAAACCTCTTTGCCCATTCAAGTGAAGACACCCTCCCAGCGTAACCAGGGCTGACAGCACTGTGCTCCATTTACTCTACAGTGAAGCTGACAGTTGCATGTAAGCACTTCCTTCATGAAAGCACGAGCTTATTTTAAACAAGTCTATTATGAGATGGTAGATTACAGATGGGGCTATCTTCGTGTAGTTCATATTAAGCTTGGCATGTGGCTTGCACACTATGTGGTACACCAGCACTACAAATACTCCTTGTCAGTAACACCTGCTTAAGTAAGAATGAGGCCAGTGCCTCTGTCATGTTCCTTCACCTAGTTTAAAACCTGTACAGCAGCTCTACACCAGCTCTCAAACCTCCAGCAGAGAGGGAAGGGTAGGACTAATGGGCTGCATCAAAATGAGTGTGACCAGCAGGCTGAGAGGGGGGATTTGCTCCCTCTACTCTGCTCTCTGGAGACCCCCCACTGCTGTCCTGCATCCGGCTCTGGGGCCCCCAGCACCAGAGGGATGTAGAGCTGCTCAAGTGAGGAGGCCACAAAGATGCTGCGAGGGCTGGAGCAGCTCTGCTCTGGAGCCAGGCTGAGAGAGCTGGGCTGGGTCAGCCTGGAGAAGAGAAGGCTCCCGAAGGGGAGACCTGAGAGCAGCTCCAGTGCCTGAAGGGGCTGCAGGAAAGCTGGAGAGGGGCTTGGGACAAGGGCCTGTAGGGACAGGGCAAAGGGGAATGGCTTTAAAGTGCAGAGGGGAGATGGAGGTGAACTCCTAGGCGTAAGTTCTTCCTGTGAGGGTGCTGAGGCGCTGGCACAGGGTGCCCAGAGAAGCTGTGGCTGCCCCATCCCTGGCAGTGCCCAAGGCCAGGTTGGACACAGGGGCTTGGTGCAACCTGCTCTAGTGGAAGGTGTCCCTGCCTGTGTCAGGGGTTTGGAACTGGATGAGCCTTAAGATTCCTCCCAACCCAAACCATTCTGTGATTTCCAGGACCATTTCCAAAGTTTTCCTTACCAGAACAACTCTCTTCTTGACTTCTGGAGTACACAGGGCATTTTCATAGAGATTCTGGTCAGAGTCAATCCAGACCATATTTTTTATGCCATCACTAGAGGCAAGGTCTGTTGTATTTAACTGGAACACCATGAACTGGAAGCGCTGGCCATCTGTGCCAATGCTTTGCACCACTACTGGCTGCTCCAAAACCTTGGGATCATTCTAGGAAAGAAGGGAGGAGGGGAGAGAACACTGAAAAAGCCAGTTACTACAGAAATTGCATGAGTACTTGCTGATTCTGCATCTTCTACTTGGTGTAAAGCCAACATTTTAATAAATGTATTGTTACCTTGCCCAGAAAATTACTCTAGTCAAGCAAGTTTTGAATGTAGATTCTGTATTTTAATTACAATTCCCCCCTCAGCCAGCAATGAAGCATCAATTTACATATACTGAGCTGTGGGATGGGGTGGAGTTTTACAGTTGAACTTACTCCCTGGTTTCTACTCATTACCACTCCAATGTGTGTTACCTCACAGAATCATAGAACGGTTAGGGTTGGAAAGGACTTTAAGATCATCCATTTCCGACCCCCCTGCCATGGGCAGGGACACCTCACACTAAACCATGCAATCCACTGCTGAGCAGTGGTTTTCTGGATCAGCAGACATCAGTACCTTAAGGTTAGAATTGGACCTCTGGATTTGAAAACTACTGGAACAAGCCACAGCAAGGGAATTTCACGACTCTTTCCACCAGAGAAAGAACACAAGCCCAGCAAGTCAGCAGCAGTCTCTGATACATACCCCATAAAGCAGCCTGGCTTTTGCCAGTGCATTGCCAAAAGCAAACATCAGCATCTTGGCACGAAGCTGCTCTGGTCTGAACCTCTGAGGACGAAGGTTGGCGGATTCCAGGAAGAAGAGAGTGTGAGGGTGAGAGTATGGATAACCCTCTTTAAAACCTAAATGGCAGATAATCATGTCAGAAATGGCTCAGTAAGAGACTACACAGTCAACATTTCCTCCTGTATCTCCAGGAACTGCTAAGGCAATTTGCTGTGATTTAAGTTCTTGGTTCCTGTGCCCAGCTCCTCGTTCCCACACATTCCCTACCCATGGCTGTCTCCAGGTTAACCTGAACACTAAGTCAAGACAGAAAATTATCCCTGATGGCTAGATCTACCTGTGTCATTGAGCTCTTTGTACACAATCACTTCCTGAAGATCAATGGTAGGAGAGATGGGATGGAAGGTCTCCAGAACATGTTCTTCAGTGGCTAGTACCTCCTCTTTGGAGGCTACTGGTGGTAGTGGGGCCATAGAGTTCATAAGTATTCCATTCTGGCCACGGACCTGCAAGAGAATAGATTCTGCGGAGGGAAATTAGGCTACATTCAAACACTGCTGAGTAAGATTAGGGAAAGATGTATGCTTCCTTTTGGGCAGCAGCACTTTAGCAAGTTGCTGGTCTGCAAGGTTCGCTCTCTCCCCATCACCTCCAAACTTATCCTTCTTCTAAAACGTTAATTGCTGGTGTTAATTTCTGACCTAAACATACTTTGAGAAACACCAGCACAGATTCTGAGCACAGAAAAATAAGCAGTTCTACCACAGCGGTTCTCTTCTCCCACCCTCTTGCTGACATTGCTTAACACCCAACCAACCTCCTCGGGGCAAGTATCCTGCCATCATCCAAGGCTGCCCTTGCTTACAGCACTATTTAAAACTGGAAGGATTACTTGGTTCCATAAATTGCTTCATTTTTCTCCAGTCTTAGAGCTAGTAGCTTTGTTACCCCTCTTACATTAATGCTTCCACCATAGCAACAACTAACCTCTTTCCCATGTAGCTGCTATCCTGTAGTTTCTAGCCAACATTCTCCTAGCCAGAGAAGGGTATTTTGCAGACATTAACCGACATATATGTATCAGGTCTTCAAACAGCACTGGGCTTTAGAATGAGGAAGAGAAAAAAAAGAGTTACATAAACAATGTGATCATAATGGTGGGCAGATGCTTCTGGGACATGAACACTGCAACGTTACTGTATGTTAACCATGTAATAGTGTAGCATTTCCAACCAGTCAACGCAAGACTTCAGATTAATATCCCCCACACCAGCCCTGTTCTGAGTTGGCAGAGGTAACGCTTACCGTTAGCTATTTAAAACCTGACATTCTGCATCAGCTAGAAGTCGATTTCAAGTGGAAACACCCTGGCCTGAGAGAAGCTTTAATATAGAGCGTGTGTTTACATCGGTCCTACTGTCAATATGCAGAATTGGGCTGGGACTTTTTGTTTGGTTGCTCTTGCTTTGTTTGTCCTATGAGTTGACCACTTGAGGGTCTAACACCTGTGCGTGATAAGTGAATCGACAGCAGATCTATGTATGATTTTCCTCTATAGTGTTAACGCTTGATGACCGGCTTGCTCTAACAAACAGCACATCTTCCCTATGACTGCAGACTCACCAGTAATACTCCCTCTTGGGAACAGTTTCTGTCGTGTTCCAGAGCCTTGCATGCCACACCGCATGCTTCACCCGCTCCTCGTGGTCCTCCAGCTGGTGAGCCGGGTTGTCAATGACGCCTTGCACGGACGGAGGCAAACCTTCCACCAGCTTCGTCTTGGTGAGCCACTGCGCCTGCCGAACCCCTTCAAGCACAACCCAAGAGAACACGCGTTAACGAGGCCCCGGGCCGGCCTCAGACACTATGGGAGGTGAAGCCTTGGCTGGTGGGGAAGGGTAAGTGACTGAACACGCTGCGCGGCCCGGGGCAGCGCTAAGGGGCACCGAGGGGGGTGGCCTGGCCCGGCCCGAGGAGGGCCCACAGGAGGGCCCGGAGGAGGGCGGCCGTGCCGGTACCTTCCAGCATGCGGACTCTCTGGTGGCAGACGAAGCAGCTGCGGTCCTTGCGGAGCGGCATGTCCTCGTAGCGCGGCCCCGGGGAGTGCCAGGGGTCGTGCCAGCCGCGGTCCCAAGGTGGGAAGCGCGGCCGGGCCAGGCCGGGCACGAAGTGCTGCCGCCCCGCGTACGTGATGGTGTCCAGCTCCACCTGCTCCCGCACCGGCAGCCGCTCCACAGCCCGGGCCAGCACGTCCGGCGGCGGACCGCGGGTGGTCCAGGGCGTGCGCGGCAGCGGCCCGCGGGGACGACGCGGCTCCGCACGGGTGAGCACGCCGCGGGTCAAGGCGAAGGGGCCGCTGCCCTTCGCCGCCGCCCGCCTCAGCGCCATCGGCCCCGCCGCCATCGCACCCTTGCACCGCCGCCGCCTCCGCCTCAACGCCCGGCCGCCGCCATCTTGGCGCGCACGGCACGGCGGGAGCGCGGTGGGCGGGCTCCTCCCTCCCGCCCGCCACGGGGTGACTGGCGGCGGCGGAGGCCAATGGCGGACGGGAGCCCTACGGTAAGGGAGGGTCGGCAAAGTGCGGGGCGGGGCGGCGGGTGAAGGGCAGGGGCCATGTTGGTAAGTCAGGGGGCGGGCAAAGGCACCTCCTCTTCTGCGCGGGGCGGGGGGGGTAGTTGAGAGACGGGCCCTTGGGTGTGTGGGCTCTGTGGGCTTGAGGCAGGTGTCCTGCATGGAGGAGAGGACAGGGCTGCGCTGGGGGCCCGCAGACGGGTCCCTGAGCCTTGGGCATGCACCGTAAGTGCTTGGAGCTCTGTAAACACGGCCCGCTCTGAGCCTGGGGTTCTGTCCTCCATCCGCAGCTTGGCTGGGGTCCTGTCATACCCGTGTGGGTGCTGAGGGCCCCGCGCGCGGCCGCTGTGGGAAGCAGGACCTCTGCCTGCTGGTTCCCTCTCTCTCTCTGCCCGTGTTCGAGTCGCAGCGGTGAAGGCTGGTTAATTAATTCACCTTGAAAACGAAGCTGCTCTAAGTGCTAAGTGGTCTTCTCCTCACCCGCGGCTTTATGATTTCCTCTGGCCCTCCTTTTGTTTTAGTGGTACGGGTACAAATGGGCCGGGAGCGGTGTTGAGCCAACTGCTGTGTGAAAGCAGCATGAGAGGTCATGGTTTCGGTCTGAGGAGCAGCCGGTGGGTACAGCTCACTCTGAAGCAAGGGCATGGTGAGGGATAAAGAGTGGTTTGGGCTGGAAGGGACCATAAAGACAACCTCAGTCCAGCTCCGTGCCACAGGCAGGGACGCCGCTTTCCTACATGTCTCTGTTTAAAGCCAGGCTAGAATCTGCTCATAACCAAAGTGTTAATTTGTTTACCTGTCTCTATTTGCCTCTAGGCTGCTGCCTTAAACCCCACTTCCAGCTCATTGCCCTCCTCCGTTTTAAAGCTGTGCTCTAGCCCGGTGGCTGGAATTCATTATCTGTTCCAATGGACCAAGCTGCAGACTTTTAAGATGCTTCTACTCTGGATGAATGAGCCACTCTTTTGTAGGAAACCACCATAGCAGAACAAGCAGGAGTCAGTGTGTGTGCCTGGTGCTGGAGGTAGCGTTGGGTGGGAAGCAGAGCCTGAGGCTGGGCTGGAGCCTGTTGTGCAGCTCCGGGCTGGTGGCTGTGATGTCTGTCATTCCATCACTGGACAGTGTAGAGGCAGTGAGTGCTTGAGCTAAAATGGAGCACTGCAAGGCACTACATTGGCTTGCGGGGTTTTCTGAGTTCCCTGAGGTAGCTTGAGAGAGATTTTCTCAGTCTTCCTCCAAATAATGTTTGCTGATGAGCACGTGCCACTCTTCATCGTGCTGGTTTTTGATGCAGGGCTTGTGTTTTGCAGACAATGAGTGGAAATGAGCATGACTGGCTGGCTCTCAAACCCCAGGAACCTTCTCCATCCCAGTGCTGTGGTGGCGGCTGCAAACCCTGCATCTATGATGTGTACGAGAAGGAGCTTGCACAATGGGAGAGAGCCAAAGCAAAGCAAGACAAAAGCCTTCTCATGGAAAAGAAGGAGCAGGTCAATTTCTCTTTGTCACATCCTAGAGCCTGTGCTTTGATGGTACTTGTTAGGGTGTGGGGTTGTGGTGAGGGATGCAGCAATAGATTAAAGCAGCGCCTTAAGAGAAGGCTGTAAACACGATTCCCCAAACTCTGCTTCACAGCCGCCCTCCCCCTTGCCTGCTCTCTCCGTGCTGTAATGTGATTTTCCAAGTGTCGAGTTCGCCCTGGTGTCGCGTTACAGCGCTGGGTCTGCAGCTTCCCCTGTCGGACAGCTTCCTCCGAGCTCTGTTCTCCTGACCTTTCTCATCTTTTCCTCATTTTTCGACTCGCATTTTGCGAATGAAAAGAAAGCTGCGTGTGTGAGCTGGAGTATTTGTCTTCAGCATGCAGTGTTACCTTCTCACTGCCCTTTTACCTAACATTACCTGTGCTGGGTCAAGCAAAAACGATCAGTGTTGAAAGAGGTGACACTATTTCCGGCTCACAGTGGTCACTTCGGCTTCAAAGTTGGCCCCAAAGCAGGGCTCAGCTCTTTTAGCAGTATTGTCTCTGTTCCCAAACATGAGGAGAGGATTGCAGTGAGTCAGAATAGGGTGACCTTGCTGTAAGGTGTAAAAAATGTACTTTAAAAAGAAGGGGGGAGGGGGAAAATGCAAGATCCCAAAGTGCATACTGCAGAACATGATAATGAATCAGCAGAGAGCTGAGATTTGCTCTGGGCCCTGGCATTTAATACACATTCTCCTGGAATCCTGAGTTTCTCCAGCACTAAATGAGCACACACGTTTGCTTCCAAAGAAAAAATGAAATAATAAAAGACACCATCTAACCGAGTAATTATTTATTGTTGTTCTTGCAGAGCAATAATTCAGAGCTGAATCCAGATACATTTACTGCATTCAGCGTAAGCTCGGTGGAGCAGCTAACAGAGGACACCTACCAGTACAGATTTGAATTACCGGGAAATAGCAGCCTGTGCTTGAGTTTAGGACAACATATCGTGTTAAGGTATTGTTCTGTGTGCTAGTTAAACAGTCTGCATTATGTAACCTAACACGGAGCTTTTTGTCAGTAGACAAAGGCTTCATAGCAGGCAAATCGTGATTTCTATACCTCCACAATGACACGGATGAAAGAGCTCGTGAGCTCACTAGCTCTGCTAATTTTATGGTAAAAGCCATTCCAAAGCTGTAGTTTTCTTCAGCATTATCCTTGCCTCAGTGGGCCAGAAAGAGCTAGGTGTGATTAAGAAAATCCATTTGCAGGAAGAAAGACTCAAAGAATAGGTGTTATAACAGATGATTTGCTCCGGTGTGTTGGAATGAAGACAATGAGCTGCACTCACCCCACAGCTTGGTATTTGAGGCCCTGTGTCTTGGGGTAACTCAGCACCCAGGATGTAACTCCCAGCATCCAGGCATTTCCTGACTGATTTCTAGCAAAACGACTCTCCTGTGTAGTTCATTGCTTGCCAGAAAGGGGCCACTTGGGAAGAGTTTATGTCTCTCACAGCCATCTGTGGTGAGCACTGCCAGATAGGAAAAGTCATATTATGATGCCATTGATCTGTATCTGTTGACGTTATTTGCGCGTTAACAGCGGATGTATGCAGCTGGCTGGTGCTGGAAGAACACGCTTCTCCCCTCAGTTATCTCTCATAGTGCAGCAGAGGAAAAGCTTTGGTCACTTCAATCAATTACCCTGGTCAGTAGTAAAGAGCAGGGTGGATATATTCTATGAGAAGAGAAGATTTACAGGAAAATATGGTGTATATTGACAGGACCTCAGGTCAAAGCTGTGCCCTGGCTTTTCGTATTTAATTACCAGATGCTGTCTGAGCATAGGCAGTCCAAAAATGATAGCAAACTTAACCGTGAAGGCATTCAATATTCAACATGTCCCTGTTGTCACTCTTGCATGTTTGGCTCACACTTGCACGTTTGGCTCAAAAGCCTTCCAGTGGTGTGTCCGAGAGCTGAATGTGAGATACTGCTGGGAAAAACAAAAGATGCATTTAACCATTATGTTTCTCCTGGATTTTTACCTCTGAAAGGGAAATGCACTGCATATGTGCACAGGCTGGGCTGCTGGGAAGAGAACCTGCTGCCTCCTTGTCTCCCCAGAGGTCTGCAGAAGTTCGGTAACACCAGTCAATGACCCCAGTCATGGTGGGTTCCTGTGTTTCTCTTCTCAGAGGAGCGGTGAATGGTTTGGAGGTGCAGCGAGCCTATACCCCAATTAGCCCAGGGAATGCTGAAGGTTACTTTGAAGTTTTAATCAAAGTAAGTAAGCCTGTACAATATGGATTAGAGTCTAAGATGCTGGGAATGGTGTTTTCTTTAGGAACCAAGCATGCTGTTGGCACTTCAAGTGAGGCTCTCCCAAATCCCTCGTGGACTGCTTCTGTGTTGTTTTGAAGCAGTTGTGCTTTACTGATAAAACCTGCAGTTTTTCCCACAAAACTGAAAGCAGAGGAAGGTGACACACAAACAAGTGCTTTGCAGCATAAGCCCTGTTAAAGCACTTGGGAGAGCCTCTTGGGAGCCCTGCAGTTGCCAGCTTGGAAAGAGGTGTCCATTCCACTTCCCTGACTTCATTTTGCCTTCCCAATGTGTCTTTGAAATTGCACCCACTTGTCAGCCCCATTGACTCACTGCTTTTGGGAAGTCCCAGCCCTTTGCCCCCTGCCCCTGAGTTTTACTTTAAGAACACTCCTCAGGAGTTTCATTTTGGTTAGAAATGTAGACAGACAGTAGGCAGCAGTTTCTGGTTTGCAGGAAGGGCTCTGGAGCTGCCTGCAGTCTGGGAGGGTCCCCATGGGGCAGAGAGGTGGCGTCAGGGTGGATGGGGTGGCAGAGACAAGTGTCCTGATCCTTCTGGAAGGCACCACAAGATGCTGGTTGAGTTCAGAAGGATTTTATAGGAGAACTTAGCTGGAAATTAGTCTGGATAAAGTCTGCAGGGCTCTCAGAAATGATTACTTTGTGTGGCAAGCATCCAGTTGAACACTTTTCCAGCCCTGTGTTTGTGTGTCACTGGTGATGCCTTAGGACAGGCACAGGCTTCAGTATAGCTGTGAAATTCAGACTGCTGGGTATCCCAAGTGGCTTGCAGAGAATGGCCACTTGTCCTCTGCATGTCTTCCAGGATTTCAAGTTTGGGGGGGGCTATTATGCATTGTACGTTGGAGCATAAATGCTGTTCTTTACAAAACCCTTCAGCTTCTGTAGGACACCTGTGGGAGGGTCATTTCACCATTCTTGTGGCAATTGGTGTGTGGTAGGGAAGTGTTGCATCTGAGTTGGATTAATAGGATACGTTCACAGGATGACTGTGAAATTTCACATATACTTGCTTGTTACTCACAGGTTTT